ATATAAAATTGGTGTTAACTTGTGTTCTGATGATTTTTAAATCCAGTCTCCACGGTGTTAACTGAGGTTCCATGTGAGTGGGTATGATGATAAGAGTTATCCATTAGTAAAGATCACCTCTTTGTATCTTTGGCCCGACAGATTGTGGTAATTATTTTGGACATCTGCTGGGGTTTGGAGTCGATGAAACCTGTTTTGACTCTCCTTGTGCTCTGGCTCATTTCAGATGGGGGGTCTGCTCTCATCCTCTACACACAGTCTGTCAAGGCCCATTTATACATCGTCTGGTGGAGCGATGCTCAACAGCTTGAGAGGAGATGAAGGAGGAAGTGTTGTCTCTTTTGTCTGGCAGGGACAGTCACTCTATTCTCTACACAATTTCTATTTTCACACTAAGCCTGAACGTAAATATCACCAAAATATTAATTTCAATATCACAGTAAAATCAACTGACATCAGAAACAGAATCTACAAATACATATGTCCGTTCAAAGAAATCAGGTGAAACACTCAACTGCACAAGCCTCCTGACGCCAATGTAAAAAAGAATTGTTAAAATTCTTTTAAACACATTTTGTGGTCACCTTCAGCGGATCATATGACCTAAGTATAAAATGTCATGATGAATAAACTGTACGATCGCCTCCCATCATGTGAGTCAATCCAACTAAAGCATCTCTTACTGTTTTTGTTTTTAAACAGTAAATGGCATGGCTCCCTGCGTCTCCTGCTCCAGATGAATACTTCTGTCCATCACTGCTCTCCTGCTCCTCTCCAGCCTGCAGCTGGCCCTCGTCCTGCAGCCCTGAGGGGACAGGACGTCTCCTCCTGCCCCTGGAGACGGTGGCTCTCCAGCTGGTCCTCATCCAGGGTCAAAGCACTCTGCCGCTCCTCTGCTCAGCCAGGCCACTCTACGGTGCCATTTGTCCTCATCTTCTTTCTAGGAAGCCAAGAAGCTGAAGCAGCAGGGACTCAATCAAGACCTCCCTCTTATCTGCAGCCTCAGCACCAGAGCCGGGATCTCTGGATATCAAGGTCTGTTAAGTCGTAAGATTGTTTCACTACTGGTTTCACTCCCTTCACTCGCTTCACTGGCCTGATGCTCTGTGTGGTTCTGGGCTCTGTGAAGCAGAGGTTATAGCAACATCACTCAGCTTGAGTCTACTCTCGAAATGGCTTTTTCACCAACACATTTCACTTTGCAGCTCGAGGGCAGGTTATTTAACTGATTGGCTCTGGGATATATGGTCTGCTGATACTGTGAAGGCTCAATTATACAAGGATAGATAGATAGATGGATAGATGGATGGATGGATGGATGGATGGATGGATGGATGGATAGATAGATGGATGGATGGATGGATAGATGGATAGATAGATAGATGGATGGATGGTGTCAAATTTCTGAAAAAAAAAAGAGAAGTGTAGATTTTGGGTTTGATTACTTTAAATTCCTCACACACACACACACACACACACACACACACACACACACACACACACACACA